AATTAAATTGTCATGAGATATAATCAAATCATGATATGTATTAATCATTAAAATATTACGTTAATTGTTATAATTTAAATTGTTTAATGTCAACAGAAACTTTGATTGTAAAGTTATTTAAGTTATCATGTTAATTGTAGTTGAAACAATCTGATTGATTGTTGATCAAATTAAATCTATTTTTTGTTGATTCCAATTCTTAGTTTATATTATTTATCAATTGGATGATTTAATTAATCGTCATTAACAGGAAAGAGTTGATTAATTTGATTGATATCAATTTGATTGCTTCAATACCATTTAAGCTCAACAATTAGCTGATAATTAAATATGATACAGTTAATTGTGTGAAAACTGTTTCCTTGATAATTAACTAATGATGATGATCAACTTCCTGTCCTAAATTAAATCTCTCAACAATTTAAACCAAACTGAATTAAAAAGTTTCAATCAACTTTCTGTATACACTATGATTTTAATCATCAACAATTAACAACCAAACATAGTAATTGAATTAATCCTTTAGTTTAATTTGGTTGATTAATTGTACCTTTTTTTTATTTAGGAATCACAATTAACCAAGTCTCTTGATTGAGTGAGACTATTATTAGTTAATTGTTATGGTTTATCATTGACAATTTATCCTTGTAACAATTCACAGTTGATTAAGTTGTGAACAATTTACTTAATTGTCAAAAAATTGAATTAACAACCAGCATTAATAATTTTTTTTTACTAATTGATTAGTTAGTGTGAGAAATTAATTCAGTTTTTGATTATTGTGATTACGATTTGACCAATTGATTTTGACCTTTAATCATATTGATCAAGGTTAATTGTGATGATAATTTAGTTATGTACTTTGTTGAATTGAGTAAAACAATAACAATCAGCTAATTTGTTCCGGTTTGATTGTAATCAATAATTGAAGTTAATCCAGTTCATCTTGATCACTTTTTATATTAACTTATTAGATTAACTAATTGATTATATTGACCATCAAACAATTTAATCAATTGTTGTTACTGGTTAATTTACTTTGATTAAATATCCTCCAAACCAATAAGTTAAGTGAGAAAGTTAATCAACTAATTAATTGTAACAATTGAATGGAATTGAATTGATTGATCAAACAATTAAACGACCAATAATTAAAATCCTTTGACAGTTAAATCAAATTTCAAAGTGAAGTTAAAGTTTCACAATCAACATTATAATATAAATTGTACTCTTATGATACTAACAATTTAACCACAATTAAAATTTCCCACTAAATTTATACCATTGATTAAGTCCAATAACAATTATCACTTGATTGCTAATGATTAACTTTGATAATTACAGGTAAGCCCAACAATTTATTTCCATGAATCAATTTCATATCCAAATAATATGACCATTAATAGATAATCAATATTAGAGTAACAATTTAGATATTCAATTGACTATTAATAGATTGGGTTGGGTTCGAGTTGATTAACTTTTTCAATCCAATCTAATTGTTGAAGTTAATCTTATTCGAGATGAAAAAAGTTCTAAGTTTGAAATTTCATCGAATTTGTATTTCTTTGTATTCCCATTTCGAGCCTCATGATCTCGTTCAAGGGGCGAGAGTGAAAAAAAGGTCAGAATTAAGGTCGAAACTTTTTGATTCCGATGATTTCTAATTCGATTGTTGTGATTTATGTTAATCGCGATTACGATTATGGTGAATGTTTAATTTTCCGTCTTGTTGTTGTTAATTGTTACGGTTAATTTTTGGAATTTAAAAGTTAATTGTCAATTAGGTTATTAAGAGGTCAGTCAAGTTTTTGTTTTATGTTTATTTTAATTGTTGACAATTTAATGATTCGAAACAATTAAAAGTAACAAAAGTTTTTTTTTAATTTTCTCCACAAATCAAGTTAATTATAAATTCAAATGTTTTCAGGTAAATGGATTAAATTAAAAGTCCAAGTAATGGTCAAGAATTGAAGATGACCAAATAGAAATGCTGTCAATGTGTAATCAAGGTTGATTGTTGAATATCGTGTATGGTTAATTGTTACCATTTCTCTTCAACAATCAAATCTGATTCATGTTTAATAACCTAATTCATTGTGATAATAATTAACTGATGATGATTGGAAGAGGAAAATTACTCAATCTCTTTGTATTAATCAACAGTCAATCAAATTGTGTTAACAATCAAATGAAATCCAAATGAAAACTGATTAATTACAATTATAATTTGAAGATGGTGATTTATTATTATAGTTTATCCTTTAATTGTTATTGTATAATACAACAATTAAACATGTAAAAACAATGAAGGATTAACCCTTGAGGATTATGATTAAGGTTGATGATTAAGCCTTAGATTGTTAATTTAAAGTGAGAGTGTAAAATGTTAATCACGAATCAAGTTGATGATCAATTTAAAACTGGAACAATCAACAATACCAAACAATTAACGACAATTAACAGATCATCATAATCATCGTGATCAACATTTGACTATTTTAATTTCAAGTTTAACGCCTTTCGGATGATCATTAGTTAACCAAAACAATCAACAATCAACAGCAACAATCAACATGATGAAAATAATAATAATAAATTTCGTGATCAAATCAACAGGTTAACATTGTTTTCCTAATGATGACCAATGTCAAGGTTAGTTAATTGTTGCTGTTTAGTTAATTATAATCATTGATTGAGAAACAAAAAAAACTACTTACCAAATCAACTTATTACAAGTTAATTCATTAATAGTTTTCAATACCAATTAACTGTTAATTTAATAGTTTTTTGTGATCAGTTTTAATTGTAACTGTTGAATGTCATTTAATTGTGATGGTGTCAAGTTTGTGAAAAGTTTTCTCATTGTGTTGGTTACATTGAATCAATGAGAATCAATTGTTTAAATTAAATTGTTATGGTTAAAGTAACAATTAACATGTTCAAACATACACACACAATATTCACACCAATTGATTAACAACAATGATTAGTTAATTGTCAACAATTAATAATGATTAAGGTTAAGGTGATGAAGAAACCAGTAAATTTGATTACCTTGTTTCATAATCTAAATTGTTTAATCATCTGATAGAAATTAACAATTAACTAAATATATTATCAATTTATATATTAATTGATTGTAATCAAAAATAAGATAATCAAGTTAACATTAACTAAATTAACTAAAAGTGTTAATTGTTATCAAAGTTATTTCAGTAAAATTGATTGAATCAATTAAAAGCAATTTGAACAATTAACGGTGAAAAAAAAATTTGTGGAAAACAATTAACATTTGATTTATCATTTTCCTTATGGTCAGTTTGAGACAATTGACCATTAGGGTTATTTAGCTTGAGGCAATGATTTCTAATGATAAGTAACATGTCATTACGATGATGATACAAGTTATCAATTAAATTGTTGTTGTGATGATTAAGATGATTAAGATGAAGAAGGTAAATTAGTGAAAGTCAATTGTTACCTGGAAACGGAACAAATTGTTGACAATCAACAAAAAGAAAGGGAAAAAGAAAGACAATCAAATTGAGTGGGAGGAGGTGGGGATGTTGTATGTTATCATGATGGTGGAAATTAATTGTCATTAAATTGTTTCATTCACAATTTTAATCATTAACATCTTCATGTGTGTTGAATTTACTTGATTATTGTAACATAAATTATCATCGTCACAATTAATAACAACATGATCCTCATCCCGATGATATAATTATTATGATGAAAGTGAAAGTTAAATTGTTCATCTTAATTGTTACCATTTCTTTGATTGTTTCATCTTGATTTTCATAACCATCTCATTATTATTATTAATCATTGACAATCAAATTGAATACTTAATCAATTTTATCACGTGTGAATAACGGTAAATATATTAATATGATAGAGAGACAATTAAACTAATTGTAATAATTAGTTTATATGGTTTAGTTGTTTTTTTTTGTTATTATGATTAATGATCAGCTGATTAAATTGTTAACAATTTAACGAGTTTAATATTAGGCTTAGGAAAACAATGGAAACAATTTAGTCTTTAATTGTAATGGTTGATCAAATCAATTTAATTACAGTTTGTTTGAAATTTTCATCAAACAATCAAAAGTTAAATTGTTAATTTGGAGCTAAATTGTTGTTACTATAATTAAATTGTTTAATTGTTATTCATCACTCTAACAGCATCATGATGATTATGCTGGTGATGAATTTATTTTGATTACAATCAATTTGTTCATTTAATTGTTAGGGTTATGGAGTTGATATTATTATTGTTATTTTGGTTGATTGTTATTAGTTTAATATTATGAAAATGTTTTTAATTGTCAGTTAAACTCATGCAAATATTAAATTAATCAAGATTAATTGTAAATCTAGTTGATCAAATGTGATGATGATCATCAAAGTTTAATTGTTGTTAACTAAAGTTTTTTATTTTCTGTTAATTGTTATACTGATTGTTTTCTGATTATCATTAATTTGAAACAACATTAAGAAAAATATAAACAAATCAGAACAATTAAACAATCAAATGATTAACTAATTTCCCATCGTTGCCGAAAAACAGTTAATTAATTTGTGTTAAAACAATTTAGTTAATCATGATTAGTAATGTAAGAAAAGTTGATTCCTTTCTCACGCAATTTAATTAAAAGATAAATTATTTGATCAATTAAATTGTTATCATAATATTTTCACTTGTTTATAAATGAAATTGTGGCAATTTAATTAACTTGATGATGATAATGATGATTAGTAAACAATCAAAAATTTACACACATTGAAACAATTTAATTGTTATTATTGATCGTTAGTAACAATTAATTTTACTCTGAGAAAATCAATCATCAAGTGTGAACAATATGTAATATTTTTAATCATAATTAAAACGTGATTAAATCACACAAAAGGTTGATTGTTGTTGGAAATTTAATTGTTTGATTTTAATTTCGAATTTTTTTTTTCTTTTCTCTTCTTTTGATGATTAGTGGGACTCGCTGATTCCAAGTGAATCTTATAATGCTGAGAATCGTTATATCCAACCAATTGAGCCGCTCGTTGATCCTGGTCATCGATCTGGACCTTCAATTGTCCACCACAATGGTCACTCTCATTGGGAACCTATGATTGTGCCCCAATCGACGCAAAATCGTAAAATATGGCAACCTTTTGCTTCCGCTTCGAGTTCAGGATCAGTTGTGAGCGGCGATCAAACGGAACAGGAAAAGGAAACTGTTGTTGACGAGAATAAAGGTGAGCCCAGTTCCGAAAATGTGGACAAACGTTGGCCTCTTATCGCTAAAGAGAATATTGAATCGGAAATTTTCCATGATGAATGGAGAACCGAGAAATCGCCGATCCTTGGATTGACCGGTCGTGGACCTGATTGGAGTAATGGTGAAGATCCATTCTCACGAATTGATAAATCGGTACCACAAATATCGACACCTATTTACCATCGGGACATTGAAGAGATTCGTAATGAACGGCAGACGGAAAATGGTTACGATAAGTCAGTTTCTCGAACAAGTAAAATCTCTTGGGATGATAAGGAAGAGTTCAGAGGTGAAGGTGGAAATGAGGGTAAACGAGTTGAACCAATTGTCGATGATCGTGAGTCCATCATTGTTGGAAGACCAGGTGAAGGTGACGATCAACCTGTTCGACCTCAATTCCAATCGGCTCGAATTCAAGTTCAACCTGAAATTGCTCCTCCAGCTTCCCTTTTACCACGAACTCCGTCGATTCCTCAACCACAAGGTCCACCATTTTCTCCTCCTTCTCCTCCACCACCTCCACCTCTACTTTTGCTCCTGCCCCTAGATCATCATCACCATCACCCCCTTCACAAGCACCAGTGACGATTAGACCATCATCCGTGACAGCCTCAGTTCGTAATGCTTTAGGTTTAAATACTGAGAAACCAAGTAAAAAGTACGTTTGGTTTGAAATGCCAAAGCCCAAGAAATCAGTCCGTTCACCTTCAGGTCGGTCTGATGTTACCACTACACAACCACCACGAGAATTTTTCACTGAAGATCAAACGGTTCCACCTTCACCAGGCCAAAAGTCGAGATTAGTTAAGGCGACAAAAGCACCTAAACAACAACAACCTAAAACTAGTAAACCCAAAGTGTCCAAATCCGTTTGGGGACTAAGAAAATCAGAAAGTCCAAAATCAGCTGATCAACTTGCACCTACATCGCTACCAATAGTAGCACCAAAAGTACCGATAACCCAACCAGAAATTACATCTACCCCAATAATCACTTCAACTCGAATTCCCTTCTGGGCTGAACTTGATTCATCAACGAAATCAAATGAAGATCTGATTCGAGAATGGGAAGTCGTCCCAACCACACCCGCTGTCACATCCAATACCAATGGTGCTCAAAGAGCCAAGAAAAACAATCTCAAAAAACGCAAAAGCGCAACATCAACAGCCGATGGTGTCACAACAACCAGTCAACCAATTTACTTCCCAACAACAACGACAACATCACCAACAACCACTGGTTCACCTTTACAGACATTCAATCCGTTCATTGAAACCCAACGACCCAAGGCCAATCCTGGAACCAAATCGAGCCGCAAGTCGAGTGCTAAAAAACAAAACGCTGCCTTAACCAATCCTAACGATGGAAACTTTAGATATGAGACTCGTATTGACCATGGATCTTCACCCTCTTCATCACCCTCACCAGCCCTTGGTACAAACGACCAGCGAAGTGGCCGATTACAAACCAAAGGTGGTTCGACGGGTAAGAAAAGTTCTAAATCAAGTCCATCGAACAAGAAGAGAGCAAACAAATCGAAGCAACAAACTTCAGTCTCATCTCCATCTTCATTTACATCTCTGTCACTTACCCAATTTGACCCAGTTTCGAATGGAAACAAATTCGATAAACTTATTCGACCAACAAATAGTCCATCTCTCGCCACCGTAACTGTGCCAACAACTGCCAAAAACTTTATTCCAATCACGACAACCTTTGCCTCGCCAACAACAACAACCAGATTCATCGCACCAACAACAACATCATCCTCATCCTCATCATCCTCATCATCATCATCATCTCAACAACCAACGACAACTGTACAGACAATGATAAAAACACCGACCTCCCCTGCGACAACATATCGATCACTGGGAACAACGAATCAGCCCATTAACACGGTCACTCCGACCTTTTCTTCTGACTTTGAAGAAGTAGCGATTCCCGTTGGTGCCGATAATGCAAAAGTACCTGGCGAAGGACTCAGTAAATCAGCCGCTCTAATCGCCGGACCAAACTCACGAAACGCAAATTTACAAACCAATATTCCAACCAGCCGAGGGAAAGAAATACAAAATGACCTGAAAGAAGTCCCATTAGAAGACATTTTACCCGGTATACCAAACCAAGATTATGGTACATTAAAGACTGTCCCAAAAACGGCCTTTAAATGTTCAGACCAACAATATCCCGGTTATTATGGAGACGTTGAGACCAAATGTCAAGTAAGTAGAAATATGGAATCGTAATAACAATTAACTAATCGACATCATTTCATTTGATTAGGTTTTCCATATTTGCCAATCCGATGGACGTCAAGACGATTTTATCTGTCCCATTGGTACCGTTTTCAATCAAATGTTTTTCGTCTGCGATTGGTGGAACAACTTCAAGTGCGAGGAAACACCAAATTACTATGAATTGAACGCAAATTTATACGATTACTCAAAAGAGCCCACAAATACTTCCGGAAACGCAAATACCAATAACGAAAAGGAAGTGGCCACAAACCGTTTCGGTGATAAAATGCCCTCAACTTCACCAAATGGAAAGTTAATCGTTGAAACAGAATCAAGTTCACCATCATCATCAACATCATCATCGTTATCATCATCAGCTGATGAACTTCCGAATACAAGTTCAGTTTATTTCGTTGACGATTACAACGAATCCACAAAAGGTTCAAAGTTATCGAATAAAAAATCGCCACAACGAACAAACCAAGACCAAGAAAATGTCTCAGCGGCCTTAGAACGGGAATCAGACCAACCAGCCGAAAGTGTGGAAACAACTCACGATAATGATAACAATCGTAGATCACAAAATAATAATGTCAATAGAAAATCAAATTCTGAGCGAAATGTAAATTCTGATGAAGTGGAATATTTTTTCAACGATGATTCCACCCAAAGGTCACCATCTTCCTCTTCCCTCTCTCTACAATCGCCATCATCATCATCATCCTCATCGTCGTCATCGTCATCATTATCATCTTTATCATCATCACCTAAATCATCATTTAATTTAGACGATCAATCAACACCAATTGATCTTTAAAAAAACATCAACAACTAACAATCAAAATCAATAGAAAACAATGTAAACAATCAATACAAATTACTTTTTTTTCTATTACGTCTTTTAATTAGAAACTGAATGTAATCACTAATTACAATCAATCGTGTTATCATCCTAATCAATTTAATTAACTAAATTTACTTGTATCACTTTTGATTGTAATGATTAACTTTCCTTTTCGTTGTTTTTTCTACATAAATTGTTAATTAATCATCAAGAGAATCATCAACAAGGTTAATCAATTCATTTTGTCAAATTATCTTTATCAATGTTTACAATTAAAAATCATTTTCTCTTTTCTTGTTAAATCATTACCTAGTTAATTAATTGTCCCAGAAAATATTCCAATCAAAACAATTAAAACTTTTCTTCAACTACTATTACGTTGATTTAAACACTAACACAGTTAGCTGATTAAATAGGAACAATTAATTAAGATGAGAATGTGTCACCTTAATCAACCAACATGATAAAGATGAAAGTTAATATTTGATTTAAATTTTCTGAAATAACATTGATGAACAATTAACGTTGTTAATTAGATTAATTGGTGTCAGTAAAAGTCAAGTAAACTCAGCTTGACAATATAACTGAATAACTTTTGGTATAAATAAAAGGGAGGACAATTGAATTTTCATCAACACTCAAAACCAATTTACCATCGAGTTAACATCGTAATTGTAATTGTAACAAGTGAAAAATTCAAAACTCAATTAAAATGAACAAATTAATCTTTACCTTTGTATTACTCTCATCGTTGGTATTGTTCAACGTTCAAGCTCAAGACAGTGGAGGTTCTGCTGTAGCATCAAGTAGTTCTGGTTCTTCCGCTGGTGGGGATCAAGCTCAAGCTGCCGCTGTTGCTGGTTCTTCCGCTGGAGGAGATCAAAATGGACCAGATTCAAAAGTTGACTCTGGTCCCTCTGAAGGAAGTCAAGGCGTCCCTTCCACCTTTCCAATGTCAGCCATGGGAACGCCTTCTACCACTGATGGGGCCAAACCTCCCATGGGTCCAGGTTTACCAGGTATGGGTGGTATGATGAATTCCATGCAAATGATAATGCCAAAAATGATGAAAGTGATGAATCAAATGATCAAATGTTGTATGGAGCTGATGAATACGCTTATGTCACCGATGTAATCAGTCAATGATAATTTGCGACCTACGAGTCAAAATTTAAGAAAAGAAGAAAATTGAATCTTGAAAACCTTAAAACTGTAAACCTATTTAATTTTACTCTGAATCGGTTGAAAATGATTTACAAATGAATCCATTCTCATGGTAAAAATAAAATAACTATTATCACAAATGATCGTTTCGACTTATTTATCGGTTGATTTTATCTGATTCAACTACAAATTCATGTTCAATTTAATAACACACTATCCACAACTACTACCGATTGAATGATTTAGTGAGAACTTCGAGCTGGTCAATCTAAAATAGCATTTGAGTCCACCAACGGAAATTTCGAACTTCGTTTTGAACGTTTTCTACTCACATCTTATTGTTCATGTAGATTTTTTTTTCTTTTTCCAAAGTTTAGAACTCAAAACAATAGATCAATAGAAACGTGATTTTCACATCATTCCTCAAAGAATCAATATTATCGTTTATCATAGATTTTTATATGGTAATGAAGACAAACGTATCGATTGGAATTACGATTATCTCTCAGCTCGTATCGATCAATTTAAGGTAAAGTTCTAAATGAAAGGAAAACTTTACAACTTCGATTTGAAGATTTGAAGGAAAAAAATTTGAAAGAAAATAAATCAATTTAAATGATTAATTTCTTTTAATTGTCGCTTGCAATTAATACAATGAGTTGATCAACAACTATAACGATCGTTCAGGTCAATTGTTACATTGCGATTGATTTTTCAGCTTCGATAACATGTTAAAAACTTTCTCAATCAGATTAGACATTAACTATTAATAGATACAATTTTCAATTCAAATCACTGATCTAATTAGTATAATTTTGATAATTCTATGATTATTATCAAGTTCACTTTAACAACGTCAACAATTTAATCACATCGATTGATGATTTAAATAAAGAAAATTTTACATCTGGTTAATCAAGTTACTCATTGTTTAGTTAACAATTAAAAATAAGGATTGACTATTAAAGATTCGTATTTAGTTATTCATTAATCGTGTTGACTTTTATTTGAAACCCTAAAAGTTAATTGTTTACATTGAATATCTAATGATCTAAAAGCTAGATTTATTTTCGCACTATTTTGAAGCTCTTATTAGGACTTGATCTTAAAAGGACTGCGACAACATATCGATCACTGGGAACAACGAATCAGCCCATTAACACGGTCACTCCGACCTTTTCTTCTGACTTTGAAGAAGTAGCGATTCCCGTTGGTGCCGATAATGCAAAAGTACCTGGTGAAGGACTCAGTAAATCAGCCGCTCTAATCGCCGGACCAAACTCACGAAATGCAAATTTACAAACCAATATTCCAACCACCCGAGGGAAAGAAATACAAAATGACCTGAAAGAAGTGCTATTAGAAGACATTTGACTATTCTATGGGTAGAAACCTATTCGGTGATGAAACGAACTGAACTAAATGGCAAGTTGGTTGTTGGAAAGACTTTTGTACAATTACAATGACTTGATTAAAACACTAACCAAATCAATTGCTTGAAAAATAAATTTGTAAAGTTTAGAATCCTAAACAATAGATCAATAGAAATGCGATTTTCTCATCATATTACTCAAGACCAATTTACATCGTAATTGTAATTGTAGCAAGTGAAAAATTAAAACTTTAACGTTAATCCAGCGATGTAATCAATTGTAAACTAACTTCTCAAATTCAATAAATTGGTGTACAACTAAATTGAATTAAAGTATCGTAACTATTTTCAGACTTAATTTTGTCCGTTTGAACTGTAAGAAAAAATCGATTTCAATTGTTGGAAAGATCAATCAATTTGATAAAATATTTCGCAAACGCAATTCAAAATTAAGCCAAAGTTCAGCCTTTTCTCTGAATGATTAAAATTCCCTTTAACATCTGATTAAATTGACGCAGAAACAATGAATTGATCACAATTAAAATAAGGCTAAACAATCAAAGAGTCATGTTTACTTATTCATTAGTTATATTGACTTTCATTTGGTTACTTTAAAGCTTAATTGTGATTAATTTATTTGCGCTCTGGAAGAAAACAATCAAATTAATAGTTAAATTGAGTTGAAAAATTGATTTTACTTTTTAAATTGTAATCGACAACAAATTAATACAATGATTAAGATGATGATGAAGATGAAGATGATAATCGGGATGAACAGAAAGGTATTGGAAGATCAGGTAAATTGGGAATCAGTGGAAATCAAAATTTATCAATAGAAAAAGAAAGTTAATTAATGATTGATCACAGATGAATTAATGAATCTACGTTAATTAACAGTTAATTTTCAGTTTAATTACTTTCTCTCTGTACTAAGGTCAGTTAATTGAAAATTTTTAATGGTTTTCAGCCTTAATCAATTACTTATTTTACTCTTTTTTATATCAATGGGTTTTTTTTTGCTTCAACAATTTAATACGAAACTTAAAATAATCAGCTAATTGTTATAAACCCGTTTGTTTTTGCTCCATAATTGAATTTTCATGTTCCCTCTTTGGTTGATATTATAATCGGTTGATTAATTGATAAGTTAATTTTACAATTAAGATTAAACTTCTCTGTCAATATTACAAAATGTTATGGGTCTTTGTATATATAATATTTATCATTTTTATCATAAACCTGAGATAATATTTTACGCTCAACGATTGTTTAATTGTGAGCTTCACTTTTGTTATTATCATTATTAATTGTTATCATTACCTTGCAATTTACTTAATTACTAATTTTTTTTTCTCAACCATTTTCCTTTAATCAAAAAGGAGGTTGTTGGAAAAGGTTGGGAGAGAGAGAGAGAGAGAGAGAGAGGCCAAAGTGTAAGTCAACTAATAATAATAATATCAATATCAATATTAAAAACATTATATCGACGACGATAATTAACTAACAAGTTGATTGGTACATAATACAACAGTTGGTTCGTAGAGAGATGGGAGAGAGAGAGAGAGAAAGATTTATAAAAGTTGAGGCAAGGTGATGATTTTGTTTCACTTAAACTGAACATGTTTTGGTTTTGTTTTCTTGTGTCACTGACTGTACTTCAGAGGTACAATATATCAGGTAATTTGTGTTTGTTGTTGTGTGTTTATGTTTCAACTCTATTACGATTTGAACATTTAAAGATAATTGAAATTGGAGGAGAAGGGAGAAAGGAGTGGAAAGGTTGCTTCGATTTTCGAGAAAAAAAATGGATTTCTTTTAGTTTGGTGGTAATGATTTTTTTGTGGGTGGTGGTGGTGGTGGCGGACTTGGATCATCTCAACCTCTATCTTTAAATATAAACAAATTATTTGTGGCTGCGACTGCGATTATGTTTTCATTTGGATGCCATGCGGTGTGTAAAATTTTCCTTGTATAGTCCAAGCTTTCAACGCTTATTTCATCTTTCTTTTTTTTACCTCCCGTGTAAACCTGAGAGAGAGAAAGAGAGAGATAATTATAATCATGAAAAGAAAAGAATCAAAGATCATGTAAGAAAAATCAGATTCATGCATAGTGAGAGGGATATTAGAGAAACAGATAAGGTTAATGGTTCGTTGAACAATAAAGATTAGAACTAAGTATCTATGCCCTTTTCTTGTAAGGAAGACAAAACTTAGGTTTGCATATACGATGAATTTTGTATTAATGGACATTGAATAGAGAAAAAAAAATCAGGTTTATCTTGTCAGCAAACCAGATAAGGAGAGTATTTTTTTCCCGCTCAAAACGCAACTGATTTAACGAGCTATCGGTAGGAAGAGGAGGTATTGATAGCGAAGCATTGATCGTTTGCAACTGCTAATTTGGTCCATTTTAATTGTAATTGAGATCAATACCTTTCTTGGTTTAAGCACTGTCCTAGGTTTTGCGATTTCTTTAGATGCTTCCAGCATCACCTCTCTCTTTGAGTGTCGATCAAAAATTTTAAAAAAATTATTATATGATCCGGTCATTAAAAATCTGTAGGAAAAAAAGGATAAGATTGCAATTAGTATAATTTTCTATTATTGATGAATCAGTCCGATTAATTTGGGTGGGAGAATAGGTTGATTTGATTTTGTTGAGCCAATCAATATTAATGAGCCAAAATTTTTACTGATGCTCAGACAAACAAACACCTTAAAGGTACTGAGAATAATAAATTGTTGATTTAAGATGAAATTAGGTATTTCTGTTTGTATTTGTAAGAACAATTTTAAAACTCTTTCAATTATTATGACCGGTAATTGATTGAATACTTACTGATCGGTTCCGTTGAAGCAACATTCAAATTTATCGAAAATGTAATCATTCTCATATAAGCTGCATAACTTTGATCTTAAATACTCGTGGACGAGATATGATTCAACTGGCTTGGAATCCATATTAAGATCCCAAACTTTAACAGATAAGTAGTCTCTGGAAATTAAATATCTTCCGTTAGAACAAAATCTGATCCCGGAAATACTTGATATAATCTCAGAAAAGAAGCTCCTATTTGTTGGGTCTTCAGGTTCTTCGAAAACTGTGAGAACAAAAAAACAGAGAAAATAAAACAAAATTAGACAGGAATAATAGAGGTAGAGTAACGAAGTTGTTTAAATTGCGATATCAATTATCGATATGACATAGAAAAACAAAACAAAATCGATGCTTACTTTTAGCATGCCGGTCACATAATGCAGCGGCCCTCATATCACAAAGTCTGATGATACCTTTACTGCTACTGTAAACAAATAAATTACAATGATGTGGATGAAATTCGGCAGCAGTGATAACTTCGGTTAACTCTTCCATATTTACTGGTTTAATGTCAACGATGTCTAGAGTGAGAGAGAGAGAAAAAGAATGATAAAAGAAACGAAAATTAATGAATAAGCAATAATAACGATGATGAATAACGATTTACACCAACAATCAATGAATCTTCACAAATAAGGATGAGGACACAAGATCTTTTCAGGATGAAATTTTGAGCTTTGCACTTTGAAAGGTGAAAATGAGGACAAAATGGTTAAATGATAGAGAAATTGAAAAAACAAATAACGAGACAAAAAAAGATTATTCTGTTGACTAATAAGTCTTTCAACAAGTAAATTGAAAAAAAGAAGCAAAATTTAAAGAGGACAAATAGCTTCATTGTATCGATGATTTAAACAGCTTAATTAACCAATTACGTGGTAAATAATCTAAGCTATCTTGGATCTTCTCTTATTTGTTGATCTTTTTGTTTGATGCTATTGGGCGCGCGCGTGCTGATGGATATGAACGGACAAGTTGAACACAAAAACAATAAAATAAATGGTCCAAATTGAAGTTCACTGATTGGTTGGTTAACATTATCGGTTCTCGGTAAACACTCACTAAAACTTTCGTCAGTTATATCCAAATGCCAGAGATTGATTCTAAGATCATCAGCGGAAAGGTAAGTCTCTTGATCACTATTCATTGAAATAGAGTTTATATGGTAAGTGTGCGCATTGGCATATATCCTTTTTGGGCAAGCTTCAACAGTTAATTCCATTGGTTTGATAACAGGTACACGGAGGGATTTAATTGAATTAGGTTCTTTTATACAATGTCCTTCATCATCTATCAAATTGTAACCATCCATTTGTCTCTCTCTTTCATAAACTTTCCACAATTTAATTGTCTTATCGTTAGTTGAAAGTAGAAAATGAGCAGGATTTTTCCTCTTTAACCATCTTATTTTGTTTATCTTCTCTTCGATTTCCAAACTTTTCAGGTAATCAAATTCTGGCTCATGACTTTGAAAAGTTGTATAAACACTGTAATCTCCTCTTCTTGGCACTGATTTTTTCGCCTGTATAAAAAATTAAAAAATTGGTGAAAAAAAAGGCAAATGAATGAGTATCCAAAAAAGGTATAAATATACATGTTTCAATGAAGAACAGATTAGAACAGGTTAATGAATGAACAAGAAAGAAAAAGAAAATTAGAGTAAGGCCAATGGCGGGCATCTAAGAAAAGTGTTCAAATACATGTATATAGAGAGAAAGAGTGAGACCGAGAGAGAGAGAGAGAGAGAGAGGGAGGGAGAGAGCAAAATGAGACCAGCATGGAAAGAGAGAGAGAGAGAGTTGTTGACAGAGTATTGAAATGTTCAAATGTGTGTCCTTGACTGATCTATCAAAAAAAAAGAGTAAATCCATCAAGATGAAGTGGAAAAAAGGTAGAAAATCCTTTTCTGTTAGAGATTAAAGGTAGTAGAGGGAAGATGGAAAATAGATAGAAAAAGGTGGAGAATGAGAGAGTAAGAAAAAGTTAGAAAGAGTGGAAAAGAAGACTAATGCCTTCAATTCACTTTAACGGCCCTAATCTTTTTTAGCTGGTGATCACCTTCTCTTTTTGCTCTTTGGATGAAGTGGATTGATCATCATCATGCGGTGAAGTGAGAACTTACAGAGTCATCTCTTTGAAAAATAACCACTCTACCTCCCTTGTCTCCGGTAGCGAGTAGGTCCCCATTATCATTGAATTCAACACATGATATAATATCGGCTGTATGGCCACCATGAGACAGGTGAGAAAGAAAGAGGAAGAAATATAATTAATTAGTGAGAAGTAACGAAAAGAAAATTATCAATATTTACTACACAAAAGAACAGAAAGAAAGAAAGAAAGAGAGAGAGAGAAAGAAAGATAGAAAAAGAGAGGATAGAAATAAGAGAAAAAAAGAGAAAGAGTGTAAGAAAAGGAGAACAAGGTGCAGAGGAGAGAAGAGAAATTCCAATGGATTTTAGAAGAAATTCTATCAATAGAATAGAAGAAAACAAACCTTCACTTATGTCATCATCTAAAGAACCTTTAACCTGTTCAAAAGTCCATTGAATGTCGGAAAATTCAGACTGAGCCATGAGCTAAATGGCTTAGTGATTAAGGTGAACACAGAAAACAATATTATAAAAAAAAAGAGGTTTTAACCAATGTTTTTTTCTTCTTCTTCTTCTCTCCTTCTTGAATTCAGTTTAACTGTTGATCAGCTTTTTACTTTAATTTGCTAATGTTGATTGCAAATCATGAACAATTAACTGAAGGAAAGGAAGAAAGAAACAATTTTAAGAAAACATAAATGAAAAAAAATATATCAAAACATGAAAAAGAAAAAAAAATATTAGAAATACAAACAAGAGAAAGAGAAAGAGACTCAGATTCAAAAAGAAAGAGAAAAGAAATAAATTAATTTTTTGTTAACCTTTTCCTTTGAGTCGATGCTAACAAATGACCGCGAGTTTTGAACTTCCCTTTGAACGAACAAAAAAATTTGTGTCTCCATCTGGTGGATAGAAAATGGACTATTTTATTTTCGAAATTTTTTCTCATTTATTTTTCTTTTTTTTTACAATTAATTGTTTCCGATTAAACAATTAACCTTTTCGTGAGTTGATGTAGAGTTTTTTCATCAGCAACTGTATCGTAAGTTAGATTACAAAGAGATTCCACCGATGAGATGATTAGACTTTTTAATTGTTTCAAGTTCGAATGGGTTTAGTTAATTGTTTCAACTTTTTGGTTAATTGATTGATGAACTTGATTTGATAATTGAATAATTAATCAAATTGTTATCAAGTGAGAAATCGGATCAATAGGTGGCGATGATTATACCTTGATAATTGTAAGTAATTCTAACTTGTTACTTGTGATTAAATTTTAGTGTCTTAGTTAATTATCAATAGATTTGGATAGTTACTTGAATTGTATTCAAATCTAATCAACTGGAAAGTTATTAATCATTTATTATCTGAACTTATTGATAAACAATTGAAACTGATTGTTGAAAGTTTCAAGTTAGGAAAAAATCTGATATCAACAGAGTCTGAGCTGAAAGAATCATCCTCATCCATAATATCATCATGAATTCAGTTTCATGTTAGTTCTGAGTTCTGAGTTCTCAGTGTGTGAAATTTTCATGAACAAATCAGTAGCCCAATGAACAATGTTAATCCTGATTCTATAAACTGTCCAATGTTAATCAAGTTGATTGAGTTAACAATCAATTCTCGAGTTTGTTAATTGTTGAATCAGCAACGAGAAGGAGAAAAAAGTTTTTACAAAAGTTAAATTTCACCAAAACTCAACAATTAACTTAATTGTTACAATTGAATTTCATATCCCTAGAAAACAATCAACTTGATTATCATTATCATGATAATAAATTGATTGAAGTAAATTGTTGCCATGACATTAAATCAAATCATCAGTAATATGATAAACTGATCAATTTAATCACTGCGATACTTTTGATGTTTAAGATTGTTAATTATCATGATAATCATCAAAACAATCAACTGATCTTTGCTATAATCAACTTGAACCTTCATTGATTTACTTAAATTGTTACATCATTAATAATCTTTGTTGTTGTGATTTAGTTAATTTTTTTTTGTTTCTCATCTTGTAAATCAAACAAATGGCGATCGCAATTGTCAACAATCAATTAAATCAACCAATTTTAACCTTAATCACAATTAACTTATTGCAGTTGATTTGTCAAGGTTATTCATCTAGTGATTTTCAACAATCAACTAAACAACAACAATTAATTAAATCTGCCAATAACATGGATCTAAATTCAAAGTGTCTCAATTGTTACACCAATGTTTACAATCAACAATTAAGGATTTCAAGAGATTTAAATAGACGAGGTAAGTTAATTTAGTATTAATTAATTCATAATTTATTAATTAATCCAGTTAATTAAAAAGTCTCATCAATCAATTTATTATTATTTATCATTAATGATTAATTATCTCCCAAAGGGATTGATTAACTTTAACCAATATCATTTTTCAATTTCAATGATAATCAATCAACAAAATGAGAAGCTAAATTGTGAAAGATAATCACTAACAATTAACAATGATATTTAAACTAATCAATTGCCTAACAATCAATTTTGGATCAAATTAATTGACTTTATCTAATTAAATAGGCAAAAGTAAAGTTTAATTTTCAGATCAATACTGAAAAGGGTAATTAATTGTTGGACAAAGACAGTTAATTAAATTATTAGTAGTTTTATAAACTAATCGAACAGATTAAATTCAATTAATTTAGGAACTGAATTAATGGTCACAATTTAAATACAATTAAAATGGTTACTTTTGAATGATTGAAAATGAGCATTAAAATAAATGGTATTGGAATTGAATCTTTGCCAGAATTGAAAGAGATGAAATAAAAAGTTCTGAGTTGAAATATTCAATTCAATTTTCATGACAACATCATGATGAGAGTAACAATCAAACATATATATGTACAAATGAACGTAATTATATGGTATTCACTTTTTATCGGTTCAGAGGTTACGATTTTGAACATTTCATCGTCATGATAACAAACAACAATATCAATGTAATGGATATGAATGATGGAGATGATGATGAGGATGATGATAGGGATGATAAAATCCTATCATTCTGATGAAAAAAACTCATATAATCATGATATTTTTCTGTACCCTGAAAGGAACCTGAAAACATGAGGAATCATCAGAGATCAGATTTCTCAGTCTGAAAGAGATTTTTCATCTCTCTCTCTCTCTCTCTCTCTCTCTCTCTCTCTCTCTCTCTTCATTCATCTGAATCTGATCTTCCTTTATCTTCAATATCATCATCTCCGATTTCATTAGACGATAAAATGTTTACTCGAATTCCAGAATCACCAAAACTTTATCAAAGTTCAACGAATACTCTTCCATGATGATTCCTACCATGTTTTTGAAACTCACAACCAAATATTATCGAATCATGATAATCCTTGATTGTTTTACATGGCGATAATTGTGTTAAATTGTCGTTCTAATTGTGGTTTCTGTAAAGGAGAACACGATTACCTGTTAATTGTTATCCATTAGACTCAAGTTCACCATCGGAAATGAAAGAAGGAAAAGTTTCCATAGTAAATTGTTTACCAAATTGATTACATATCGAAAACAATTAACTTGATAACAATGGAAACATTTGATTGTTGAAACATATTCTCGATTCAATGATAACATGAAAAAGGAATTGAAATAATTTCCAAAGTGGTGAATATTTTTTTCACTTTCTCTATGGAAATTTGAATTGGATACAAAATCATAACAAAGAAAAGTTCTAGAATTAGAATTGGAAATAGAATACGAGAAAAAAGTTCTAACAGATTCGATGGAAGATGGAAAGGTGATGATGATGATGATGATGAAGATAAACATAGGTTTCCAACCTGATGGTGGGAAAATAATGTTATCAACAATGTTACTCAAGCGAGAGAATCAATAATATCTGATTGGTGGGAAAACATTTTGTGGTGAGAGGTCAAAATGTCGCTCAGTGGGTTGACCATTTGATGACCAAAAGGATGAGGATGAAAGCGAATATCAACCCAAGGAAAGAAGAGAAAAAAATTCTGAGACTTGAGTTAATGAAGAAAAAGATGGAACAGTTCTGTAGTAAAACTAATACTCATTTTCCACCCTGAAAAACATGATATAAACTCCCAGGGAAAAGTACAACAGTTTATATCAATTTCCATCTCGAATTCATATTCACCACTCTCACAGAATGTAAATAATTTATAATCACCATCAACATGCTCATGATGATGATACACATATGAATTCATGATATTCTGTATAATGATAACATACATGATAACTTTTCTACTTCCACCTTCATGTTATTCGGTGAAATTGAGATGAAAAGTTCTGAGATTTGAATGTTATTCTTACATTGAGTGAATGTCATCATGTAGCAATTTATTAAATTGTTAACATGAATCATCAAGAAAAAGGGTTAACATTATTTATAAGTTTACATGTTAATTTGTGTTCATTTCAATGATTACTTGACTTTTCATGTATTCAGGTTCATGGGTTCAGGTTGGAAGTTTATCTTTTTTTCATCATTTAATTATCTACATGATAATTATCCTTTGTAAAGTATTCTAATTGTTATCAATTAGTTTTTTTATCCCATTTTGATAATAATAATATAACTGAATCAGAGATAATTTTGGTTAATTAATTAGCGTTTTGAAACATTAACAATTGTCCGATCATGAAGAAACTTTTTTTTTCATTCAGCTGAACAAATTATGAATCAGAATCTGTGTCATTCTTGATTGTGATTAGTTAACAATCAGAGTTTGTCACCATTAATTAAAGAAATCAAATGATAACTTTAATATTCATGAGCTCGAAATTTAATTTAAAGGAAACCGAACTGATTGGAATCGATCAGCTGTTAGAACTTTTTTTCAGAACTTTTTTTTCTGTTCATTTCTTGGAGGGATAAGTTTTCAATCTATCAAATGGATCAACAATTTAATCTGATGGAAATTAAATAATTTAGTTCAATTTACTTGAGAGTCAAAAATTAGTTTGTTTATTAAACAATTTACTGATTGTTGTAAAATATCGACCTTATTTGAGTGATTGTACTGAAACTTAACTATTGTTATCGTTGCGATATTAAAAATAACATCAATGAATCAATTTATCAGCTAATGATTGTCAATCGCCTGAGGGTGATCATGATTAAATGGTTAACACAATTAACTATCAGATAATGTAACCACAATTGTGTGTCCATTGTGATAACAATAATACTCATAAACAAACAATAGCATTTACGTGAGGTGATTAAAGTCCTTTTAATCTGATTGAATGGACAGCAATCAAGTTAATTATTTACCTGACAAATTAACAACCAAATGATCATCAAATTTTTGGTCATGATCAAAACAAAAAAAGTTCAAACTAGACAATAACTGAGTAAATGTATCGATCATCATGAATGGCTGATTATCAAATGAACTGAAAAACAATAGATGCTTATCCAGCCTGAATAACCATAAGAATCGGATTCGGAATTTGAAATGATCATGAAAAGTTAATATGGCAAAGCTGAAAGCCTATGGAAAACATTGAACAATCGTTTCAACATTTAATTCAATCTGATTGTTACAATTATTTTTTTTTCTCTCTTCCGATTGTCCAAATATCGATGATCATTCATGAACTGAATCAATATCCAATCATGAATGATGAAAATCTATTAACCATAAATAGTAAGAAAAGTAAAAGTTGATCCGATAAATTTAACATGATGGATTTTAAATTCATCTTGAACTTTTTTTATTCAGATTGAAAGTTAATTCCTGTGATTTTCAATTCTATTGCTTTTCATGATAATCTAACCTAATCCCTGGTGAGATTAAAGAAAATTGAATTTTCTTAATCCAGAGAAACTGTTTGCTCTTTAAATTTATCTCTTCCAATTCATTTCATGTTATTTATATATGAAAACTCAGTAACTTTTTGAGAAACTGAATCATCATTATCATCCTCATCTTCATCACTCTGATTATTTATCGTTTCCAAAAGACTAATAAATAAAATCAATTCCCAACTGAAAGCTGATGATGTATCATTTATGAAAGATTGAAATTCATTGAAATCATCACCATGTAACCATGATGATGATGATGATTCAGCAATGATGAATTAACCAAGATAATTTGATTTGCTTTTAGTTAATAAGTGAAACAATTGATTCAAATGATTAAAATAATTTTACATGATAGGAACTCAATTTGATCAGTTAACTTGACAAGAAACAAGCAAAAAAATGAATCAATTAAAACTTTTAACATGATGGTGAAAAGTTTACATGATAATTATGATGATTATTAGCTAATCATCACCATGGATCTTGAAACAATTAATAGTTGATGAAGATGAGACATGAATATCTCCCAGATAAAAGGTAAGATGTACATTAAAGTTGAATGAAATTGTTGTGATAATATTAAAAGGATTTACTATTAGCTTTTCATTGCGATCATGATGATGTTATACTTTGGGATGATGAAGATGATAAAGATGATAGAGAAAGAGATAGAGATAGAGAGAAAAGTTCATCATGTATATTTGATAGGAAACTATTGTCATCATCATCAGAGATGCACTCAACTTGATCAACGAAATAATCATCATCATCATTATCATTAGATTATCATCCCAAAGTATTTAAAAGATTCATCTCTTTATCATCCTCATCCTTATCTTCATCATCATCTCTCGTCCTTAACTCAATTTTTATCAACATCCATATGATATCAAGTGTATTATCCCATTATTATCATTATTATTCACCATTTATATCATTATATTCATTTATTGTGACTTAATATTTGGTAGGAGAAGGAAAAAAAATCATTCCTCTGGACAATGATTATGGTGAAAATGATGATGACCACAACAAGAATACAACAAAAAACTAGATGACCATGTAAAAGATTCACAATTTTTATCATCATTCTCATCATCATTGTAACAATATTATGTAACTTGGTTGATGAACAAAAAAAATGCTCGATTATTATTATTATTAAGCTGTTCAGTTCATATTTACCAGGTCAACTGAAAGGAAAAAGTTTCGGACATGATAATAAATATGAAGAGAAAGGGACACAACTGGACATTAGATTGTCCACTCAACGGCTACTGTAAACATGGATTATTTTATATCATCTTCATTCACTTTGTTTTCCTATGTCAATAGTAGTTAACTTTAGATTTTTATGTTATTTAAAGATGAGAAGAGGCAAACAAAAAATAGATGATGAGGATGAATGAATTCTGAAGTTTCCATGTTCATTT